ACGGTTGATGCCCTGATTCTTCAGGAATGCGCCATTGCGTGAATGATCGGGGTTGCGCTTCTATCACATAGTCGACGCCGTTGTCAGAGGTGTAGCTAGGCGGCCGTGGGATCCGCGATTTGTTGCTCCCATGCCTGCCGACGCCCTTTGGCGCGTGTGCATTGTTATTCTCGATGCGCTGCCAGTACAGCAAGTCGGGGTTAATCCTCTGCATATAGAAGTCAGCGGGACTGGTCACCGTCAAGGAAACGAATGATTCCTGTAATCATGGCGATACTTACCACACTTTCCCGCCAAAGACCGTAGGCGGGAGGAGGCGCTGTGACCTTTTCGCGTACGGCATTCGGGCTCGCTGCTCCAACGTCCTCATCGCCAGCCAAAATAACGTGGATAGGACGCGCGGGTTGCGCATAGCCGGCTGGCCCTGCCCTGCTGGGTATGCGATTCGTAGCGACATCAGAGTCCGGCCGTCGTAACAGTGCCATCAAGAAGCGCGTGAGAGAATGACAGAAAACAATGCCAAGAATTAAGATCATGAAGATGAGAAGAATTTGGAGCTCTCGGCCCAATGTCGTACGGGAAGCAGCGAATGCGAGGTAAATGGCGATAACGAGTATGAGGAAACATGCGGATATAACCAGCGTGATCAGTCGCCTCCGCAGCTTCTTCTCCTTCAGCCGTGATACGAACGATTGCCTGCATCGGAGGTCTTCAGGGTCTGGCGGGGAGTGTGCTCCATGCGAATCTCGACCTGAGCGCGCATGCGACCGTGTTTCGCCGGAGCTTCCTGCTGCTGCGGACTGCAACTCAATTGGGACATACGGTCCTCTTGGCACATATTGAGATGCAGCAGCATCTCTGAGAGAACTATGCGACGGTGCTGGTCGACCAGGTAGACGCGATTCGCGACGCTCAGCGCGGTCACCAAGGATTCGCTGTTCCAGGTCGAGACGATGGTCGGCTACCCATGATGTGAATCGCTCCTCCCGATTGGGAGCTCGTTGGAGTTGGTCATCTGCGATTGACCCACTGGAATTGACATGCGAAGAGCGATCGGGCGAGAACATGCCGGGGATCGAGCTGGAATGTGTTGTCGATCCCGAATGAGACAGCTGAACCGATTCCATGTCAACTCAAACTAGCAGTCGTACAATGACATCTGGACAGACGCAGGGCGCGACTTTCAAGTGCTTCGCAGAGATCACTGATGGAGTATTATATGCGTCGATAGTGGGAACTCCAATCGCGTATATGATATGTTCTGCGTCGATATGTACTGCCCACTTCCGCATTCGTTGAACAACACACAAATAAGCGTCGCGGGAACGCAGAACCGGATGCAAACCGCCTGGAATGAGAGCCTTTACGACGCAAAGCGGATAATTGCTAGCGAAGGCGGATATCTGTGGCCGAACTGGGAAATTGGTTATGATTTCGGACGCTATACATTCATAATGAAGATCGAGCCTGGGGTGTAGGAGAGGGGCCCAGGGGAGAGCAGCATCAGACGCAGGAATCCCGATCGCGAAGTCACAGGACACGAACGATGGCGACCCAAAGGCAATTAGATTGGTTAAATTGTATCGGGATGGAGTAGGAAGAAAATTGGATTTTGGAAACGAACGCGCAGAAAAAGCGAAGGAACAGGGCGAGCACCAGGCCAGCCGGTTAGGAGAGGACGATTCGGTTCAGCACGGAGAGAGCGAGAGCGAGAGAGGTTTGACGAACAGTAGAACTATTATACCCGAATGATAGTCCGGACGGAGAGGGGATAAGATATCACAGGGGAAAAAGCAAATACTAATGGGGCAGATGCGGATAAGGATGAGGAGGTAAAGATGAAGAAAGTGGAAGCAAAAAGAAACGTTGGAAAAATATACTAGTAGCAGAGCCTCAGATGTTGTATGCGAGCAAGAACGAAAGATCCATACTATGAACCCGGGATAAACAACGAGATGGGGAAAGCGAGCGAGAGAGAAACAGAGAGAAAGGAAGAGCTGAGAGGCAGAGAGTAACGAGAGAGACAGAGAGAGAGAGTGACACTTCCCGTTCCCCAATGGGTAATTATTACGGGCGACTAAGAGAGGGAAGTGGTGCTGCTAAGCAGCTTAGTTGGTTACAGACAGTTTCTCTCTCTCACACGCAGGCCTTTCCTAAACAACTTTGATAGGAAGTAACTTTCATTCATTCTGCCCTTTCGATATTATTATTAGCCATCATTTCCCTATCCTACCCACTTCTCTACGTATAACTGACGAAACTGGAATCCAGTTTGCACAACCGGCCTGATCCGACAAAAAATTATTATTAGTAGCTGATTAGCTGGTTGATGGACTGCCGAATGCTGATTTGGCGTCTCTCCTCGTTCTTCTGCTTTAGGGGCTGACCATTTTACCCCTGGATGACCCACGTTGCCCTGATATAGACACGGACACCATTCAATACTAAGTATAGCCACAGCTCCCCTCCCTCGGCCCCCTCTCCCCCCAAAACCAAGTCCGAGCTGTCCGATAACAACCCGCAGCTGCTGCATAGCTATTGATCTTACGCCATAGCTGTCTTCATCTAAGAATTGATCTATACTACTAGTCCACTAGTCTGGTTTAACAGACCTGTGCATCGACAACTACATCTGTGCTCCTTGACACTCTTCCCCGTGGCATCCTCAATACTTTCGGTCCTGACGGGCCGATGCTTGGATGCGGGTAAACATTATACTACTAATCCTAAACTAATATTAAGGATGGCTGTGGCTCCTCGCGCCTAAAGGAAGCCAACTGTTTCGGCCTCACAGTCAGGTCTCCCCCCCTCTTGGGACCCTCTCCCCAAGGGGGCCAATCGAGCGCCAATGAATCCCTCGACGCGCTGGTAATTTCTATTAAGAGCGGCTACCACAGCTTACTGAGACAAAGCTGGCCCGTAGCTAGTGTCACTTATCGCCATGATCTTCCAAGGTTACACAAATGGAGTGCGAGCCATTATCATGTTGACGTATATTATTACACTTGTAAGGCATTGAATATATGGATATACTGCGCTCCGCGGGAGGTATTCAAATAATGGTAGTAATCCATTTCCCCGTCATGCGGCCGGCCGTTCTCCCCGGTTCTGCCCATAATGGCTAATCTACCAGCCTTGGTTGACCATGTTTCAACCGGCAAGCAAGGTTGATGCTGGAAGGTTCTCTTGCCATCACTATTCGCCACAAGTCTAAACTAAACTTGATGGAGCGGGGACCCGGAATGTGTTGTCATAGATAAATGCTGTTCGTAATGAGACGGATTAAACTCGCGATTGTGTTGGCTGGGTGTGCTGCACATGCGCTTCCCCTCACTTGCCAAGTTCACCGAGCATGAGCGTACTATCGGACGATCCCGAGACAACTATAGATAGACATTAGTATACCAACGACTTTCCCCAAACCCGGTGTGACTTACTGATGGGCTCATTGTTTGGTGAGAACCGGACGTCATTGACGGTCCCCTTGTGTCCTGGGAGCTTGTATAGAATTTTGCCGGACTTCGAGTTCCAGACTACGACACTTCTGTCACCACTGCCCGCCGCAATCTTCTCTCCACTCGGGTCCCAACTGGCCCGGATGAGGTTCTTCTCCAACCCGACCGGCGCGCCGTCAAATGTCCTGACGTGTCTATTGGCCGGCGCGAATGGCCGGATATCCCACGTGCGTACGGTCGAGTCGTGTGAGTTGGAAAGAAGAGTTTGCGAGTCGGGCGAGATTTCGAGAGAGGTGATGGTTTCCGTGTGTCCCGCCATGGAGTAGACGATGCCCTTCTTCCGTAGATCCCAAGCATGAATAGTGTTATCAATACCACCACTATAGATTTCGTTACCCGCCTCCGAAAGCGCCACCGCCGTGATGGGCAACTCAGTTTCCAGATATTCGATGGCATCCTTTTGCCGGGGATCCCAGATGCCTATGCAACCGTCGTCACTTGCGCTGACCAGCAATTCCTGGCCTCTTTTGCTTATGTCAAGACAATTGATAATCTCCTCGTGCCCAATGTGCCGGCGTATCCTTTGTCCGGTCTCGAGATCCCAACTAGCGAGCGTCATGTCGGCCGATGCGGAAAATAACGTTCTGGAGTCGCGCGACCATTGAAGATCAAGAACTGCTCCCCGGTGACCTGATAGCGCACCATAGTTCTCGCATTGTCCGTATGTGTTCCAAAGCACTGTTGTCGACTCTGCGATTAGCCTGTACCCTCGGGCCATTACAATCAGACGAAAAACGTACAGATAGATCTATCCATTGAGCCCGAAGCAATGTGCTGGGCAGTGGGATCAAACCGCACCGAAAAGATTTCACCAGAATGACCTAGTATTATCCATTATATGTCAGACTTTGTCGTAAGTCACCGCGGTGGTGCAGCTCACCATTCATTTCCATAATCGGTGCTTGAAGCCCGCTGGTGCGGGGAACCTATAACCAAGGTCAACCATGGAACCTGACAAAAACCTCACTTCTCCAATAACGCGGGATAAAGCATACTGATTGAATCAAAGCTCCATTTTGCGACGAGCTTTGGACGATGGCTGTGCTATCATTGAGACCGGCGTCGGACTTCTTTCGCTTGACGACAAGCTGGTTCGATGAGCCAAAGGCTTCTTGGGCAGGTCGCTTTTCCCCCGACATTGTTGAAAGTAAATCCAGCGGGCGAGCTCAATCAATGGGTATGCGAGTTGAAGTAGGGATGGAGGCTGAGCGTAGAATGCAATCAAGCCTAGTAGCTGGGGAAATCTGGACTGGACGCGCCGACCCGGACTAAGTCTTGCGTCCGAGGCTCTAAGCATGGTTTCTGCGTAAGCGCCAACCAGCCGCGCTAGGCGCCGAGCGCTGGTCCACCAGGCGCGTGAAGCTCCGCCTCAGGCCCCCCTCGGTCCACCGAATCAAGCGGGGAAGAGTGCGCGTTGCTCTTGTCATTGTTTACCAGCCGCTTGCAAACTTGCGTTTTTATGAAATTTTGCGTCGTTCATATTTATTTACTTTGACTCCGGGCTTAACGAGTGTGATTAGCAATCATGTCATCCGCAACAAAAGCGTCTAGGATTGGGGAAGAGTAAGCTGTTCATTTACCTCACTTGACCAGTAACCCCTTACTAACGTTCTGAACCCGACAGGCTGTGGAAGTCAGTAAGCTGCATGCGCATAGTTGGCGCTCGAAGGCCCCTCAGGAACCGAGCGAAGCCAGCTTGAAACGGACGGACAACTGACATACTCCCGACCTTACCAGGACGAGAGTTGACAAAGTGAACGCCGAGTTGGTAACATTAACGTACGGTACAATTGTCGCGCAACTTTGCCAGGACTACGATGGAAACTACCAAGAAGTGAACAAGCAACTGGAGAAGATGGGCTACAATATTGGAATGCGACTTATCGAGGACTTTTTGGCCAAGTCGGGCGTGGGCCGTTGTGCTAATTTCCGGGAAACAGCGGATATGATTGCAAAGGTATCTTGAGTCCAACAGGCGGAGCACTTGGCCGAAACTATCTGGATCTCTGGGAGCTGACGAGTGTTATGCCAACTGCAGGTTGGGTTCAGGATCTTCCTCAACATCGCGCCCACGGTCACCAACTGGACAAGTGACAACAACCAATTCTCTCTCATATTTGAAGAGAACCCGTTGGCGGATTTCGTTGAGCTGCCTGATGACGGACGGGCTCAAGATGAGCTGTGGTTCTCTAATATTCTTTGTGGAGTTCTGCGGGGTGCATTGGAGATGGTAAGACGGCGTGCTGCAGGGAGTTGATCTGTTCTCTGCTAGCCACTTCCATGCATATCTGTGCTAATTCTGGGAACAGGTGCAAATGCAGATCGAGGCGCATTTTGTGAGCGATGTTTTGCGGGGCGATGACACTACGGAGATGCGGGTATCGCTTGTAAGGTACATTGAGGACGAGATGCCACCCGATGAGGAGTGATGGCGCCAGCCGTATGGTTCTGAAATTGTTTATACAAGTAGAGGCGTCTGGTGTTATGAGGGTTTAATCCGCCGATCTGGAGCTGCAGTTACCAATGAAATACTACCTTTATTACGACTCATGATTGATACGGAGTCTTGCATCTGTAATTCCAGTCTAGAGTTCTCGCACTAAAACCCCGTTTACATAGAAGGTCTCCTGCAGGTCACCAGATCAAAACACCAATTCATTGTCACAGAAGGACAAGATGAACAATTGCACGGTAGCGAAATTAACAAGAAAAGGAATTTACAACGGATATCAAGGCCTAGAACATGACCTGTCAATATAGTAGATCCCATCTTTACAGAGGGACGCTCTCCGAACCCGGAGCATGGGGATCTACACGGGTGCCATTAGTATGACAGGCGCACTGGTACCTCATCAAGGCGGTGTGAGATTCTGCCATGCCGGAGAAGACCACCGACGCGATTCAGGTCCCTGTAATTTAACCGTAGAAACCAGCTTCACGGTAATTGTATTTCACAGGCTTGAGAAGTGATTTAAGACGATATAAGACTACAGAATGTGCATAAGATGCAGTGTAATGATTTTCCGGTGAATCAAGAGCGGAGCAATCTCAATTTGTATGTCGATAGATCCTGGCCAACACATCTCTCACGGAGGACGGCCCGCACTATTCACGACTCGGCAGTGATCGGAGACTGACGGCCGTGACCTGTACTCCATCTGATTGATACAACGCGATCCAGTCTGATCCTGCTGATCTAGCTATGAAAAAGTGTAATCACAGAGCGGCAGAGGCCGGACTTTGTCCAGAAAGAGCTAGAATAGAGATACCGTGCGCGGGGAAGAGTAGAGATCTCAATTGATATCTAACTCATATGATGTGCAACATCAGTATCTAGACACCTAACATTTCAACACAGAGTCCGGGGAACGGCAGGATGGGCAGATCGGCGCAGGAAATCCTCACCCGGCGGGAGAGTCACCACGTGATGCGCTAGACCAAAACGGGGGCGAAGCATCCCATCATTCCCAGGGTGTGCCAGGATATACGCGGTGGCGAGTCTGCGATTCAGGAAAAGCAGCCTCAAACTGTCAAATAGAGAATAAGAGAGGGTGGAATTGCTGTGTTATTCACTTCTTATAGTAAGAAAAAAAAAATAAATCTTCTAGTAATCTCGATGATTTGAGAATTCATTGAATATGAATTGTCTATTTCAAATCTATAGTATAATACTCATCTGTGTTAGTGGGTTCAAATCAATGAATCGATCAATTACGGAGTACATTGTGAAGGGTCGCGGTGATTCCGCTGTATCAGATACACTTTATACACCACCAGATCGGGTGGATCACTCGGCGCGTGTTAATGCTTCGGAGTCCAAAGGAAGCAAGAGACTGAGAGTGAATTAGTAGTGAGAGAGAGACAGGTATCTTATATAACTTATAACCAGCCTCTTTGATTTATTTGAAATTTTTACCGGCATCTTCTCCTTTTTTTCCTCGTTTCATCTCTCTCTCATCGTGATCAAATATACTGGTAAGTTGTTGCTCCGGATCTTGAATCTTTCATGCTTGTTCTATTAGAATAGTCCTTCATGTAAATCATCATCTGTTGTCTTTCTACTATCTCATTGCCTGTCAACTCTTCTCTGTGTCTCTCTCACTGTTACAAATTTTTATTTTTTCCCATCGGGATTTCCGCTGGAACTGCATGCTGAGATATACGCGAGCCAGCCGCATCTCCCAGCCCTCCCACGGCGTTCCGGGCAAGATAATCCGCGCCGAACAAGCGATTCACGCCCGGCCGGCAGTGATTGAGCAACTCCAGGCACCGCGCCTGATATCCACGTCCTCCCACCCACCAGAGAACACCTCAGATCCACCGCTACACCTTGTCCTAACCTTTGCCTCTCTCTCTCTCCTCCCTCCCCCCCCTCCACTTCCTACTCTTCAAATCTGCCGGATCTCTCCGTCTGTCCCCCCTTTCCTTTTGTTGCAGGGGCTTTTGAGGATACTTCTGCTGCTTCTGAAGTCCTCTCACATCCTTGGCTTTGGCTGGTACCCCCCGTCGGGTTGCGTCTGGTCTGGTTCTCTCCTATACCTCGTTCCCGTCCTTTGCCATCCTGTGTCGCTTGTTCGCCGCCCTGCCCCCCCGGCTGATCTTACCGCGCATTTTCGGTCAACTGGCTTCTGTGAACAAGTACACCAATCCTTTCTTCTCTTAATCTTTTTTTCTCCTTCCTTATCCCGCCTGTCTCCTGCTTTCAACTGGACCGTGTCTCGATTGAAAGCCCTTTTGCCCGCTTGTGCTCCGTCTCGCCTCACCTTCTGGAAGTCACCGAAGATTCTTTCTCTTCTTCTCTCCCAGTTGCCGTATGCTTCTGAGTGGGCCACACTCGCCTTCCCTTGTCGGTGATCATCGCGACACCTTTGCTCTGCGTTGTCCTATACTCTCCGTCAGAGACACCCCCCTCTACGTCAGTTAGCGTGAAACGATATCGCGGGTTCAACTTCCGCCTAGATTAGCCCCGGAACCCGGCTTACTCCCTGGCGATCGCACATCCAGGTCTGGTTACGAAGCCGTTCTTATCACTGAGCTGGAAGCGTCTGTGACCCTGCCTTGTACATTCCCTCACCTCGGGACCTTGATTGCCGCGCGCTGCGCCTCGTCGCTTCCTTTGTGGTGAGCTCCCTCGCCGCAAGACGGTGGATGCGCGTTGAACGTTCTCGGACCCCCCGACGCTTTCCCATCGAAGACAATAACTAGGTGAGGGTGGCTGGACCCTTCTTTTGAGTGCCACCATGAATCAGATGAACCAGATGAACCAGATGAACCAGATGAATATGGCTGGAATGAACCCCGGTGCAGGGGGCCCAGTGGGAGGTGTGCCCATGATCAACAATGGCTCTGCCGCCCCCCGTAACGAACAAAACATCAACATTCCTGAAAACATGATCAACAACCTCAACACTTATATCTACGATTATTTTTTGAAGCGCGGCTACCACGATTGTGCTAGGGCGCTTGTGAAGGATGAGTCCATCAAACTTAATACCGAGCCGCCGATCAAGACGAGTCCGGGTCATCGTCGCGATGCCGACGTGAACGGTGTCGACGGTGATACAATGATGACGGATGGAAAGGATGGAGATAAAATGAAGATTCCTGATGACCTCCCCCGCCCTAATCTCCCTAATGAAGGACAGCAGTCGTCATTCCTCCTTGACTGGTTTAGCCTTTTCTGGGATTTCTTCTGGGCTCAGCGCAAGAAGGGAAACAGCAATGACGTGAGGAGTTATCTTACACACACCCAGGTACGTGCTCTTTACTCTTTGCCGCCTGTCCGGACGTCTAACTGAGGCTTTGTAGAATATGATGCGCCTCAGGGAACAACATCAGAATCAATTATTACGACAGCAGCCACTGATGAATGGACAGATGGGCCAAATGAATATTCGCCGGAACGGCATGGTCCCCCCTAATCTGCAAAAGACTGTGTTGCAGAATAATACTTCTGGCCTGTACGCGCCCCCTTCCCTATCTCCTGCGCCACCTCGCAAGAGCGTTCGGACTACAATGGTACTGACTGCGTCTTTTACAGATCGCAACAACAACTCGCCCAGATGCATAAAAACCAGCAGGTCCAGCTGATGCAACAGATGCAGCGCGAGCATTCGGACATGGATATGAACGGCCATCGACCCCAGTCCCCCGCATCGGCAGAAAATGCCCCGTCTCCGTCGAAACGACCTCGCCTCGAGGGTGGCCCCATGAACGGGCAGCAACTGGCACCCAACGGACGCGGTCAGGCCCAGGGTATCCCAGGCCAGCCCACCCCGCAAGCACTTTTGATGCAGAACGGACTCAATCGGGCGATGAACCCCAATCAGTTCCAGGCTTTCCAGCAGTCGGGACCGGCTGCGCAGCAGAAACAGATGCAGGTATATGCTCACAACTTGGCCGTTCATCACACACGCTCAGCATTGACGAACCAGGGCATGCCGAATGGTATGATGAATCCCGCGAATGTCATGGCAAACCCGCAGACGGAAATGGTGTCCATACCGGAAGGCCAGGTGTATCCCATCAACGGTGACTACTATGGCGCGAATGGTCAAATGGCCCAGGTTCGGACGGGGATGCAGACGCCTGGCGGTCAGCACGGCAACCACGCTCTCCAGGATTATCAGATGCAACTTATGCTGCTCGAACAGCAGAATAAGCGGCGTCTGATGATGGCTCGCCAGGAGCAGGACAGCATGGCTCGGCCTGATGGCCAACCCCCAATGCCCGGGCAGCAGTTGCCACCAGGCACCTCGCCCCAGGGCAGCAGGGCTGGCACGTCGCCGAATCCCAACGACCAAATGAAGCGAGGCACCCCGAAGATGCCCCAGACCGGCCTCCCCGGATCACCGAGCGCTGCCGACGCGATGGCCCAGGGCCGTGGATCCCCGGCATCCATGAACTTCCCTGGTGGCCAGATGCCTCCCGAGATGGCGGGTCCCCAGTTCTTCGTCAAGAACATGGCTGATGGAATGGCGGCGCCTAACGGCATGCGCCCCCCGAGCTCCAATCCTGCGTTCAGCGCCCCTCAGATGGGTCAACCGATTCAGGCTGGTGCTGGCAATCGCATGCCCAACGGAGGTTGGCAGCCGCAGCAAGGAGCTCAGGGCCAGCCGATGGCGCCGCAGCAGTCGCCTGCGACCCAGCCTCAGTCCACGGGAACGCCTCAGGAAAGGAATGCCATGCCGCCGCCCCAAGCTCCCCCAGCACCTGGTGCCAACGTCGGTCGAACCCAGCCTCCGTCGCCCCAAACTGCCGCTCCGCCGACGCCGCAGCAAGGCAACAAGCCCGCTCCGAAGAAGAAGGAGACCAAGGATAGCCGGAAGGTATGTAATCAACGCTCTTGGTTGTTGACCCCCCTTGTCATCTCATATTGAACGCAAATCTTAGCGACCGAAGAAGGGCGCTGCTGCTGCTGCTGCCGCCGCCCAGGCGAACACGGCTGCCACGCCATCTTCCGAAGCAGAACACCCGCCGACCCCTACGCCGTCGACGCCGATCACGCCCCAGCATCCGAACTCGTTCAACAAGGCCGGTGCAAATGCTACGACTAGTGCTCCGCAGCAGCCAACGTCTGCCCCTGCACCTCCGCCACTTGTTCAACAGCCTCCGGACCAGACGCAGCAGCCTTTCAATGAACTGAGCATCCCTGATGTATGTTCCTTGCCTCTTTCGTTATGTTCGGTGGATATTATACTTACATTGTTGAGCAGGCATCGGCTTTCAATCTGGACTTTAGCGCCTTAGAAAACCCGGACATCCTGGAGAATTTCGACTTCGATACGTTCCTCAACACCGATGCAGACACTGCTGGATTTGGATTTGACCCCAACATATCGTATCCAACCGATGGTGTTGAGACCGGTGCCGGTGATGGCTTGTGAAATGAAGTCCGACGGTTGTTAAGTCCTTAACTCATATACCCTTGTTCTGTACATTTCCATAAACTTGAGTTCGTGCTTGTGCTTCTTTGCTTTTTGCTTTTCATGTGTCATTTTTTTTTCTCCTTTTCTCTGCTTGTTTTCGCATCGCGTCTTCTCCTATCCTTGTGTTCTGTCGACATGATTTGGATATGTGCCCAAGTGACTAGGCGTTGGTGTATCCTCTTTTCCTTTTGCATATCCTTTCTTTCACTCTGCCAACCAGAAGTGTCGACCGGCTTCCGATGGGATTTGCTTGATTGCCCCTGCTTGTATTCAAGCTACGTTCCAGTGGCCTAGTGTGACTGCTTTTTATATCCTCTTATCACTATTACTACTTGATTAATCTGGTCATCAAACTTTCCAAAGGGCCATCGAGTGATGCGTTTCTCCACCATCCTAGCGTTAGTCATGCTCCATATAATGCTCGAGAATACTTACATCACAAGATGCGCCCCTGGCCCTTTCTTTCTTCTTTCCTTTTCTTTCTTCAACCAATCTCTTTCCCTTGACAAACCTTTTCTTTTTCACTTTGCGACTTGATTCCATTTGAATCGTCTTATTTATACCTTCTCCTTCTACTTCTTTATATTACTTATTTCCTATGTTGATCTCTTTATCGTGTTGTGGCGTTATAATCAACGAGGCTCTAGTCGTTATTGACTCCTCTCAGGGAAATGGTTTCATGAAATCGAGAAAGATACTCACGTTCTTCTCTGCTGTTCTTTTTTCCTCTCTTGACTGACTTAACTCTCTTGCTACCGCATCACATTAAATCGAACTGCCTGCTTCCTGCCGTACATTATGCTGCGCGCTGCTGCTATCTAAGTCTACCTTTACTGCCTGCAGTTATTCCAGCTTTTAAACCAGATCCGTCCGGAAGAGACGTCTTGTCTCGTCTCGTCTCTGTTCGATATTGGTGAGTGAGTGAGTGAGTGAGGGTGTGTGTACAGGGAACCAGGCCAAAAGCGAAATTCTGTAGTTTGAACCTTTGATTCCCTCCTCTTCCGTACATATCTTATCTATCATATAGCTAGTTAGCTGCGTGATATCTGTCCTCTGGGGTAGAATGATAACTAACTGATATACTTGATTGTTGGCTCTATCAATACAAAGAGATTACTTCGCAGTAGACACAACGCTATAGTCGAAGTAAAGTAACTAATCGTCAACACAAGCTGCTTACTGCTTACTGCAGCTACTAGTTAATTAGCTAGCTGCATAGCTGCACATCTGCATGCATACATACATATGTAACAGGTCAAGTCAAATCAAATCAAATCCCCTTTTTCTAAAACTTAATACTAAGGTCGCCAAAAATAACATGCCATCTAATTCAAAAGTTGGTGTGTGATCAACCAAGTGATCAACCAAGTGAAATTGTTTATCAGTATCAGTATCAAGGTGAACTAGGGACGCTGATGGTATAGTAACTCTACTTCAGGTCATGATCCTCTAACTTTTAACACACCAGATGTATACATACCAAAAGGGTAATGGGGGATGACACTGGGAGCTTGCTTGTTTCTGCTGACGAGGACAGTCAAGTGGGCAGGTATCTAGATGGTGTTGATTCATATGTTGGTGATTACTGGCTCATTTCAGGTTAGATTTGTTTTCTACTTGGTAGTAGACGGAGAAGAAGTGTAGGTGATGTGATGTCTTTGCATATTAGGTACGTTGGTAGAGAATATTATCGCCTAGAATGTCGGGATCGTGGTGGGAGAAGACTAATTTTTGATAACCGATGTCTGATAGTGAGTTAAGCTTGAGATGTTAGGAAGGGCAGGGCGTTGAGTTGCACTGAGAGCAGGGAAAGAGATGTGGACACAATAATTCGGGGACTGAAGGCATGTGAAGAAATAGAGGAGTAGTCGTTGCTGTTGATTATGAATGATCTCTGAGGATACTAGTCTGTGGATTCTGCAAGCTATACTAATGACACTCACTACTCTCCTAGCTGCTGCTATCACCACTTGACTAAGAAGATTGAATGCTAAAACAAACATCCTGGGCTGAAAAACATGACTAATTGACACATCCACACGTTTCACCCCAAGCAAATTCAGTATCCGTAGCAATTGATATAAGGTAACGAGAGTTCATCGGTCATGACTGGACCTCAACATCGACGCCCTATGTTAAAACTCGTATAAGTCGAATCGATAAACAACAGAAGCTGACGAAGTAGGGAAAAGAAGTAAGCAGTACTCTAGAACTAACTGCCTATCTTGACCATATAAGAATATTTCAATCATCTCAGTGACTGCTACAGTGCTGGCCCAGCAAGCTGGGGCCTAGAACAAGGCAGTCACCAAGCCTAGCGTTCATAAGTGGATTCTTGAGCTAGCAGAAGACCGTGCCACCCTAGGAAATGGGAGAGACCTCTGCACGGGCAGAACCTGTAGATGACTTGCGGCTGGACCGAGTTGGGGTTTCCACACCTCCGCTGGTACGCACCACCAGCTTGGAGGGGGTTTCGCGGGATTTGTCGTTCACTTTAAGTGGCGAGCCCCCCAAAGATTCATTATCCTTGGCCTGGGACATGCCCTCCTTGCGGCTTTTGACGCGTGGGCTAGGGGTAGCATGAATCTTGGTAGTTGCCGCTCCCTCAGCCGTTGCTTCCGAAGCAGCGGTGGATTTAGTGCTGGACCCAGACGCTTCTCTGGTTCCAGGCAATGAGATCTCCTTCAAGACCGACGTCCGGCTGCTGCCTTTAGTGTAGGGTGCATAACGCGCTTCAGCAGCTGCAGAAAGCTTATTTCCCATGGGTAAAGCAGTAGAGGGGCTATTGGTGGGTGCAGCAATGCCGAATAGGGCCAGTGGCTTTGGCGGACTCAATGCTTCAATCAGCTGCCGGTATGACTCCTCATCGACGGGGGTTACTATGCTGGGATGTTTGCTATGCTCGTAGCTAATGCCCGTCATGCTGGAGATGGCGCGACTACTTCCAGAGCTAGAGATATAATCGGGCATGGGAACATCCTCGCAAGATGATCGTGCACCTCGATGTCGGATAACAGGGTCGGTGAAGGGATCTGGCATGCATTGGCCTTGCCACTGGGGTAGAGGCATCTGAATTGATCTTTGATAGTTTCGATATGCCCAGGAATTGCCTGAATGGCTGCTTACGTGGCTTCTGGGGGCCAACATCCGACCCTGAGCACCTTGCTTACTGGGAGAGTGGGCGTGTGAGTCTTCTGCTGTCAAATTAGCAGGATCGATGCCCGAGTTGTACTTGAAAAGTCGTGGCTCCCGTGTCCACATCGAAGGGTTCGGCCAGGCGATGTTTGAATGCTCCAGGACCTCTACACTCAACGGGTCAGTGCATGTATGAAAAACGATCTTCTAAAGTAAGACTTACGCAGTGGGGCATGCTGGAAGGCAAATGCGACAATCTCCTTGACTCTCTCGAACGGTGGATAGCGATGTGGGCGACAAAAGCCCTCGGCAATCACTACTCTAATCCTACCGTATAGCTCAGCTGCATCCCAATGTCTCTGCTCTAGAATTTCCTGGTGGAACGGAGGGAAACGGAGGCTATCCTGATTGCCAGTCTTATCGACGTCTAGAATCTTGCTGTTAGGTGATTTTTGTGAATCAATGGTGGAATGCGAGAGATTTGGTGCAAAGCATACACGAACTTAGGTCTAAAGATGAGACAGCAAAGTCAGCTATAAATTCGGCAACAGAAGGATCACTTCTTCTCACCAATAACATGAGGCCACCCTGATCTCTGATGGAAAACGCTACCCCTATGGCACACAAAGGCTCAGTTCATAGCCTCCGGTTGGAGGCTCGGGCAAGCACCTACGAGACACACAGGCCATCAATAAAGACCCGCACCTCGAAAAGCACTGCATCATCTGGCTGCAAGAGGCTTTCCATCAACCGACTGGGTGTGGGCTTCTGCCAGCTATGAACGGACACACGGAATGGGGTGTTGTGACGCAAACTTGGGACGAAAGTAGTGAGAACTGGCAACTGGCCCTCATTGCTCTGTGGCAGAGGACAAGTAGCCGGACTAACAAGACCGGGACTATGCAAGTACGGTGAATCTGGTGTAGATCAATGGGAGGTTAGCGATAGACTAAGCCACGAAGTTACTCCAATCTTCGACGACACTGACCCTTATCCTTGGTGACGAAACATTGGGTCTTGAACTCCTGAATGGGCACCTTGGACGATTCGGGGAAGAGAATCACGTCCCAGTCTTCGTACCGCATTCTGGCAGGCCCAAGGACTATTGTCTGCGAGTTAAAATGAGGAAAATGGAAGAAATTGAACCTTGATCAGGGACTAAGATACAAAGAGTAAAGAGAACTGGACCAATCCGAGTGGAAGGGGAGGGGGTTCCTAAGAGAGAAGTAGGTATCTCCTCCACCACGACGAGGAGACAGATGATGGACGCATCAGAGGGCGAGCAGACAAAGGAGAAGATGCACCGGGGTTCGCACCTGCCAGATTGGCTAGATAAGGGAGTACCTGCCTCATGAGGACATCCCGTTCGAGTTGGAAAAGATTACAGACAAACCCCGGACTAGATGACCGCATTTGGGAGGGCAGGTACGAACCACAAGACAGACCAAAAGAGTAAGTACCAAGACAGTAAGTACCAAAAGGAAGAGAGAGAGATGTATGGGTTGAAAACTAGAAATGCAGACCTGGCGACATGCGCCCAATTCAGATTGTTTAGGCATCTATTATCGAGTCCCATGTACACGAGGGAGGAGCAGATGCGAGCAAACATGCTCGAAACTGCCATGCTCGCAATCGCGGTGCATACGCACAAAGGCAAAGTAGTCGGGGAAAGGAACACAGAGCTGCTCACTGCAGAGCGAAGGGGGAATCATCCGTAAGAATAACGACTAAATGAACATGCCAGTATTGGAGCTGACGCTGGAAACAACACCTCCCTCCTCGGTGACACAAGGAAAACAACCAGACTTACGAACGCCACTCTCCCAAACCGTGATTTGTTTGTTCACAACAGGATGCCGCCATCAGTGCCCGAGGATAGGTAGGAACAGAAAAACCACCCACCACCCAGTAACTACAATTTAAACGAAGAGATAGACGCATTAGGAAGAGCCCCCGTCCTGTCATAAAATCATCAACACCAGCCCCCAAGTCCCACACACCCGGCAGGGGGATAGAGAAAAGTACACAACCCAAACCGTCCAAAACATCCGCAGAACGCGCCAGACGCAAGACGGGGGAAGGACCTATCAAAGGACCACCGCATGGAAAGAGCGAGAGAAAGAACTGTGCTCCATAATAGACTGAATTGAGAGAAATAAAAGGCGAGGTGGAAACATGTTGTACAGGCCGCCCGGTCTAAGAAGCACGACGTAACATCCTCACAACGAAACAAGAATACGATTGGATTGCTTCATGAGAAAGGACTTCAGCAGAGGAACTTTTCGCAGAAAGCCTGCCCAGGGAATAAAGGGGGGGGGGGGACACCGCACGCGCATTCAACAATTCCGATGGTCGTCATACGCATAATAACATAGACCTAGGGCCCGAAGACGTGAGGAGAATGTAAAAAGCGGGCATGGGATAAAGGGAAGAAACGGGGGAAACATATGAGAATTGGGGAGTGTGGCGAAGGAAAATTTGGGGGAGGTTTAAAAAGGGGGAATGGGAGAACAGAAGAATAGTAAAACGTGAAGATAGATAACGATGAAAATCAGAGCTCAAATCTGGCTAACAATGGAAGCGCTCGCATATGAAGTACGTAGCACAGGAGAAAATGCCCATCCAGAGCTATAGAGGGTAACTTTCGCAGAGATCATGGCAGACTTATAACACAAAAGACCCATCGTGAAATGACAAAACTCCTGCTGGTTCTTTCAAACTAAAATGGAAAGCTCTTTTACTAAGTCTGGGCGTTAGTGATGCTCTGAACCCCACCAGCCTCGGAGGGAGAGTTCAAGGGGAACCGACCTTCATAGGCGCGAAGCCGCCGTATCCGTGAGCGGGGGGCATGCCCATGGAGGGGTACATGGGAGGCGGAGGGGGAGCAGGACGGTAGGGGCTGCCGGCAGGGCCAGAGTTGTTCTGAGAGCGACCCCAGCTCAGACGCACACGGGAGTTTCCAATGGGGTATCCCTGCATCTGGTTGATGGCCATCTCAGCAGCATGGCGCTGGACGAACTGGACGAAACCGCAGCCCTTTCCAGGGGGGATCTTGACGTAGGTGATTTCACCGAAGCCCTGGAAGAAGGAGCGGAGCTCATCCTCAGTGACGTAGCCAGACAGGCCGCCAACGAAAACGGTGGTGTTGTTGGGGTCGGTGAACTGGTTCATGGGCTGGGGAGCACCGTAGAAGCCCATGGGGGGAGCGCCCATGGGAGGGTACATGCCCGCGGGGCCGGGCATGCCCATAGCACCGGCAGCACCAAGGCTGGGGCCCTTGTTCTTGGGAGTAGCAGTAGAGATGCGCATGGGACGGTTGCCACAGTAGACACCCTGCATCTCGCTCAGAGCACGCTGCTGGTCGTTCTCATCGGAGAAGCGGACGAAGCCGTAGCCACGAGACATGCCGCTGATGGGGTCGGTCATGATCTTGGCGGACTTGCAAGACGGGAAGCGGCTCTGGAAGAGAGAAACGAGGACGTACTCGTTGACCTCGGGGCCCAAGTCACCAACGAAGATCGAGTACTCAGGGCCACGGTCATCACGGCTATTTGACAAGTTAGCTTGTGACCTCAGGACATCTATGTGGCATCTTCTCCTTACCTGCGGTCGGCAAGACCACCACCGGTAGCCCAGTTGAGCTTGAACAGACGGTTGGTGTTGGGCATGGGGGTACCGTTCAGGGACAGAGCCTTGGCGGCGGCGGCAGGGGACGCGAAGTCGACGAAGCAGTAACCGGCGTTGCTCCTACTACCAACATTAGGATCGCCTTCAGATTGAATCCAGTGTGATTATGTACTCACCCAGAAAACTTGTCGCGGATCATCTTAACGTTGACCTGCTCACCCATCTGGAACCAGAGGTTGCGAACGAAGTTCTCATCGATCCAGGGCTCAAGCTCACCCATCCTAAACGGCAACAGTCAGAGACAGCACGGACCAGAGATACTGCATTGGGAAAGCTTACCAGAGGGTAGTCTTTCCCTCGTTGGCCTGCTGGGGAACAGGGGCAGCAGAGGGCTCCCCGGGAGCAGGACCCTGGAAGGGGGCGGTAGTAGGGTCAGCCTGGCCAGTCATGGCGGTGTCCGCGGTAGCAGGAGCGCCAGGAGCGGCAGCGGCGGCGTCAGCAGCAGGGTGCTGGTTTTGGAAAGAATCAAAGTTCTGGAAAGACATGTTTGACATAAAAATTCGACTTTCGTAAGAATAACTGCGAGATAGGTATCTAAAAGTCCAGCATGAATATTAGTAACACTTTCAACAAGTGAAAAGGATCGAGTGCTGGCCAGTCGCAGTTGCGCGTACCTTAGTGCAGGTAAAAGAGCAGAAACCCAAGCAAACAAACTTTTCTATACCGAAATTGGCCCGTGCGAATGGGGTTTCGTAGGATTCGTCAAGGAAAGAACTGCGTGCGATCGTTCAGACTTGGAAATGACTATTAGTACCAAAGAATTGACTTCAGGAACGAAGGTCCTTGGGTAGCAACAAGAAAGATTTCAAAACTGGCGAGGCAGAAAACACGAGTAAATCAGAAATAAAAGGGAAAAAATGGGAAAGATGCCCGATCCACAAGTTCGCGGTAGCTCAGATAGAAAGCATTGACGGAGCGGAAGATAGTTGAATAGAACGTGAAGAATTCCCCAGGATGGCGGCCGGCAGAAAAATTGATTGAACGAGCGACTCGGTGAAAGTTGGGACAAGACGAGAAGTTGGGTTCAGCCTTGACTTGCAGGCCAGCTCCGTCAGGTGCCAAGACTCAGGTTCCTCGGGTGGTTGCAATGAAATAGCCGGAAAGGTACAAGATCCATGGAGTGAATCGAACAAAACCGGAAGAGGTGTGGTAGATCTGAGGTGACAATGCGTGAATAGCCAGAAATAGGCGTTGTCACCATAGCATGACCGCGTTCGTCGAGGATACACCCAGAGAAGGCCACATCCGCTCCGGTTGCGACCGACCCGATCGATCCACCCAGTCTTCAGCGGACCTGCACCACAAAAGCCATGCAACAGCCGAGACGTATTTCCAACCATTCAGAAAGCGAGGCGCAGAAAGGGCCATGGACGAGTTGATGGTTGAGCGACCGTCCGAAACTCATCGTGAAATAGATCAGGGCGAGATAATCGTAAGGCGCAAAATGGTCGCTGACAGACCGTGCCGGACGGAAGTGGAAAGTCATTTTCGACGACCCGGATGCAGAGCAATCGGTGGACATGTTCATCCACAGCCGACTAATTCAACCCACTTCGCCTCCAGCGAATCGGTAATTCCATGCTTCTGGATGCATGAGAAGCGATGATGGACCCGAGACAGTGGTAGTCGATTTTCCGTCGCAACCACACACAGCTAGGCACCGGAACAGGCAGGGAAGGGGGAGAAAAGTGAAAAGAAACGGGAGAGAGAAAACCAACAAGAAAAACAGTTATGGCATACGAGTCGATGCGAAATTCAAAATAATAAGAGAACAGTAACAACTTACCAGGTAATGAAAAGCGAAGCGTTGAGTTGCGTTGCTTTGGGAATGGCGCAAATAGCAAGGATGCGTGGAAGACTCGGGCGTCAGAGAAATCAGGAACTGTAGAGAACTCGAGATAACTCCGGCGAGGTGGAGAAAAGATAATAAGAAATTCAAGAAAGAGAGGAAAAGGCACAAAGAAGAGTTACAGAAGAACTATCCGCAAACCAACTCCGTCTTTTCCGATAGAAACAAGGGAACGGTAGAAGGACTGGAAGGAGGGAGAGATATTATGGGGGGGAGGGGAGGGAAGAGAGAAAGAGAAGAGAGAAGGAAGAAGAGAGGAAGAGGCGAGGAGGGGTAGAAGAAAGATTATTCTTCAGGATGGAGGGGAGGGAAAGGGAAGGGAAGGGAAGGAAAACGAGGGAAAGAATGGCTACTACTACGTACTACTGCTAGGGCAGACCAGGGACGGGAGAAAGCAGAAAATCGTTTAGACGAACAAACCAAAACCCAATAAGAATAATGAATAATCAAGCACACAAGCACCCAAAGCTCGCAGGAGCCAAAGCAGGTCTTGGGTTTGGTTTACTGGGGCCTACTTTTCTTGCTGCTTCCAGCTGCTGCTTAGTGCTGCTTGGGCTTGCTGCTTGGTGCTGCTACTACTGCTGCTGCTAAACTACTACTGGGACTGTGAGGAGATGAGGGGCGGGCGCAGCAGCAAGAAGCGCTGCCAGCTGGGTGGGACAAAAGTTTGCCGACTCAGGGAAGGCTCTGACGGGGTTTTTCTTTTGGGTCGATTTTTCTTCCTTTTTTTTCTTTTTTCTTTTTTCCTTTTTCTCTTTTTCCTTTTTGGTATTTTCTTTAATTCTTTTCTATTCAGGTGAATTTTTATTTTATTATTACTTTCTATTTCCACTTTTGTTTCCCATCTGCTCATTGACCACGTTTTTCATTACTTCCTTTTCCTTTCCTCTGAGTTAGTCAATAACCCTTAGTCAATTACTCTAGCCAGAAGCAAAAAGAAAGAAAGTGAATAAAAAAAATTAAAAAGAGAATCAGAAAAATAGAGGACCGGGCCTTGTCGATCTGGATTTCATCCTGGTGGGAATCGTGTGGCCGTGGCGGGAAATAATGATGATACATACACAGATACATACATACATACACCCACACCCACACACAATCTGGAAAGTATCTCTAGTATTGGTATTGTCTTGGTATCCAGCATTCAGGTTGGAATTGGATTGTTCTATCGGGTGTACGACCTTGCTGGATGTATGTTTTAGATCATGATCCAGATATCGACTGCAGAGTTCAACAACGAAATATTGCTAGAGTCTTATCTTGACTCTTTGTTCTTTTAAGATGATCTCACTCAAACAGTAGTTTTCTCGCAGCCATACATAGCCATGTTTATTTCTCCCTTCCCATTGAATTATTCATGATGCACCAAATGACTGCTGTATGTTGATGGATCTTGGTTGTAAGTTTAGGAAAAAGAGCTACTTAAAGTACTTTACCTATAAAAGGTACGTACCTTCACAACGGATACCTGCCTACCGTGCTTGCTGCGACAGACCCAATACAGAGAAGGTGTTAATCCCAGGGCCATGCAGTGGATACATCCACCGTCGACGGACCCAACCCAACCAAACTACCCTGCGACCAGATGACTGCTGCAGCCTGCGGGTTTGCAACCTGACATGGTCCTTATTTCCATCGCATGCAATAATTTTTGTACTATCCTCTGGTAGTTGAACAACCCTAGGCAATAAAGTCTGCATTCTTTTCTTTTTCTTCTTTCCTTCGATCCTATTTTTTTTTTCTTTCTATTTAGTTCATAGTTTCGCTCTTTCGTTTATCGCATGATATTGCTGGTGAATGGAAGATGCCAATAACTTGGAAATCAATGAAGCTTATAAAACGCGCCGGGCTTTTTGTAACGTACCCATGGCTTGGGGTTCTGTCTGAAGCAAGTGTATACATACGCACAACTTGATCTATCTGTCCATAATCTCGTTCCGATGCGTCAACGAGAAACAAGAGATTTGATAACGATCTCTCAAGAATCATGTAGGGAGGGCAGCATGTTGCTCATTATATCGACAAATCTAAATGGAAAAACACCCATTCCCCGAGATGGAGGGGAAATTGAAGGGTCTTTATCCGCAAGCACACCATCTTAAGGTAAGGGGACGGATCAAGTACACATCAAGTATGGAGTACAATAATCCCCCCTTGAAAGGGTTGTACATATACTTAGTAATGATGGTGGGAATAAGTAACGAACTAAATCAATTGATACATGGCGACCAGGAAACAAGACTAACAAAGGGCGGGAAAAAGAGCGAAGAGGCAAAAAAAAGTAGACGAAGGATCGTGATCGACGTGTACCTACCTTGAGGATTCATAAATATGGCCGAATCGCTGCACGAAATCTGCAAGGACCTGAGCGAATGCACATGCAGAGAGAGAGAGACCAGAAAGGTCGTGAGGCCTTTTCCCTGCGTGGTGTCGCGTTGTGACTCGTCGGGTTCCATTCGCGTCCCATGGGCCCTTATCGTCATAGGTCCTGTCCCGTTCTCCGCCCTGACCTGGTCGGGAGATGGGATGAGCCGAAACTCGACGGTCATTTCATTCATTCATGCATTCATTCAATTCGTAGATCGGTTGCCATTTGCAGCCACACCTCAGCCCTTCTTTTTTCATTGTTCATTCACCTTTTGGATCGACCATCATTTTTGCCCTACTGTACAGTACAGTTGAGCTGGGCGGCTGAATGGCAAGTAGATAGATGTTAGCTGAACTTTATGGATGAATGGAGAGAGGCGGGAAAGAGGATGGGGGCGCTGAAATGGCGGTCTTAATGGGATTACTTATTGTTTTTTCTTCTCTTTTTTTTTTTTTTTTCTAACAGGGGATGAAATTGGCCCGAAGAAACTCTCAACCACAATCAAGGACCAACCAGACCGACGACCGGGTAAAACTGGCAGCGCCTGGACTTTGTGGGAAAAGTTCAATGAAAGGAAAAATGGCCCCCACCCAATGCGCCCCAGACCCATGGATCGTGGAGCAAGCTAGCCTGCTACTTGTCTATGACGGAGGACTAATCGGGTACCCAGGAGACATTCGAGAAGCAAGAACGGTCCATGTGGAAAGTGGATGGTGCTATACTCTGAATAAGTCAAATTGTTGATTTTTTTTTTTTCTTCTTTTCTTTTCTTTGACTCACTAGCACATTTGGAGAATAAATTGATCATAAATTGATGGGAGGTATATTACCTATTTACACAGAGTACCATCGTAGTCTGTGGTTCACGTTAATAATAGATAGATAGTGGCCGACGGGGAGAGATGGTCAAAGCGATCAAGACTAAAAGAAAATAAACGGGAAATCGATCAACTGATTGACTTCCAAACTAACTAAATACAATATGTAACTAAATAGATACTAGAGACAAAGTATGCTTGCTGCCAGATTGACTTCTAGTGAGAGAAAGCGAAAAGGCAATCAACAACATTTCATTCCAATTGAGGTCATAGCCCAAGAAATTCCGCACACACACAAGGTTTGTTGTGGGTGTGGATTTAGCTGCGATTATATAAAAAGAAAAATGAGTAAAAAAGGGCGACCATTCATTCCATGTGAGGGCGACTCCACCGGGGTCAGCTCGAACCATGGAAATGAGGCCCATGTGGTGCCACCGGCGGCTCGTACGGTAAATTTGGGCCACCGCAGCCTGTCATTCACATTACAAGTTTACAACCAGTACCGCCTGCGCCTAATCGGGCAAGTCAGATTGCGGGTTCTGGAATCCCACGAGTTGTTTTCTTTTTTTTTGTTCAGTGTTTTTGAGACAGAATTCCTTCAGCCTCGTGAAGGGCGAAGGGGGCACTGGCTGATTCACGGTTTTTTCCATCGTTCCAGATTCTAGCTAGTTTGTTTCAATTAACAATGGGACATGTGGTGGTATTATTCATGTCTATGATCTAAACTTTAGTGCTTGTCTGTATTGATTTAGTATTTACATTAGCACTCTTACTTAGTATATGTTCTAATTCTCAGCTTTGCCTCGACGCGCACGCGACGCGACCGACCGACCAACTGACTGCTTTGCACTGCAGGATCCCGTGTGGCAATCAATAACTTTACCTACTTGGGAGTTGGGAAGAACCAGTCAACGCAACTTCAAGTGGCAAGAAATACGAGCGTCATCAATTCCGGGAAAAGGAAGGTAAATTAATTTAATTAGCTCCAATAAGTCTGGGGAACGATCATCATCATCATCAATAACATCATCATCATGATTATCCCATGGAAAAGGTCACTGGCATGAGCAAGGGAGCTGAGCTCTCTCTATCTATGGATTTTCATTCCCTTGATTCCATGTGTATCGTGAGCAATTTCCGAGAGATGGGAAAGGTAGGGAGGGAGGGAGGGAGATAAAGAGATCGATCTACTATTGAAAAAGTCATAATAACTACGGATTATTCTACCAGGAATAAGGCTGCCTAGTGTTACCCTTTCCTAGCTTGGGCCACCCTTACTTCCAACTACACGGAAAGGAAAAGTCGATGATGATGATTATATCAATACATATACACCACCAGAAGAACACTTTCATTATCAGTAAGTAACATATTTGCCCATGCAGGTATATCATTTTTTTAAAATACCACATATGCACATACATGAGAAAGCAAGTAGGGTCGGGGGTTGGTTACACTATCATGCCGCTTGCTTGTTAAGCAAAACCCCCGTCCCTTGCAGATTTCCGCCCTCCTTCTCTCCTTGCCTTTGCACCTGGCCGTTATCGATGCAAACATCCCACCCACCACCAACCTAACCTAACCCTTTTTTTTTGCTTCTCGGCTGGAGAAACCCTCAACCAGGGATTCCTACTATAAGTACCTTGGGCTGGAAATCTGATACAGGACAGGGCCTTTGTTGTATTCTTTTGTTGCTGAAATGGAGGGTCCATAATGATATTGAACCATGGATGTCCCATATCCCAGAGACCAGGTATGTCCCAGGGTAGGAAGTTCCTAGCTGTGTTTCATATAGGGTGAAACCGGGCTGAAGCTGACTGTCTCATAGGGTAATGTATATCTTTTTTTTTTTTTTTTTTTTTTTTTTTTTTTTTTTTTTTTTTTTTTTTTTTTTTTTTTTTTTTTTTTTTTTTCAACGCTCTACTAACTAACTAGGAACCTCTTCTACTGTGTTGTGCACAAGTACAAGTTCGTACGAACCATCCAACAATCACCTCTCAACGACCCACTCAAATCCACTCCTCCAGCTGAGGTAGGGTGGGTGATTGTCTGGATCTCTCACCTGTTCAGCAAGCAATATCCCCACTCACTCAACTCACATCGATCCGGTCCCTCCGAACAGCTACGCGGTCACAGCCTCTTTCTTGGTACGTGTTAGCTTCGGTTGTTAGGGACGCGGATGCGGCACATTTGCTCTGCTGGAGCAGGGCTTATTATTATTATTAATATGGCCTTTTGTCGGGCCGCAAATCGGGACAAAGTCACTGAAGTCTAGACTGCTACTGTTGCCTCTGGCATGGTGTAGTATATTGCGGTAGTTAAGAGAGGAGTGTTGAGCCAGGCGATAGCGACTGTAGCGAATGATAGAACCAAACAAAGTATAACTTAAAGCACTCGTCATGCACCCTTAATATCAGATATAAGACCAACAAACCCAAGTGTCCTCAACGCCATAGACCCCCTGATAACCAGTACTGCCCTTATAAACACCATATCCACCCCATACATATACAAAACACCACATCCCATCAAACCAACAAAAAGTACAGAAGCTAGATATCAATCATCATCATCCTCCAACTCCACCACAAAATCCCCCGTATCACAAACCCCTCCATCCCCCGCGGCCAAATCCTCATCACAAAACTCACCGACATTCCCCAACTCATCGCCCAACAACTGAATCGTCTTCTCATAAACCTTCGCCGTCTCCATCTCCCACTTCCCAGGAACAGGCATATAATCCTCCAATTTATTCGCATCCCCATAGACATCCTCGAACTCTTCATCCTCATCCTCATCATAATCATCATCCTCTGCCCCATTAGCATCCTCAATCTCCTTCTCTCTCTTCTCAACAACCAACACCCGACACGACTCCGCAATACTCTTAATCCGGACCTTCTCCGTCATAGACACCACACTCTTTTTCTCCCCATTACCACTACCACCTAAAAGCTCCGCAAACACCTCATCCAACTTCCGCAGTAAGCGGAACGTAGGCGCCGCTGAGAAGGGATACTCGGGCAGGTAGGAGTTGACCTGGATGGCTAGGGAGATGAGGTAGGGGATTTGGAGGGATGCTAGCCATATACATCATACATATCTCTATTAGCATTCGCTCGCTCTCCCAGGAACATAACCAACAAACCAAGAACACGAAGAGTTGAATGTGTGTGTGTGTGTGAGAGAGAGAGAGAGAGAAGGGGTACTTACGCGTCCCACTAACCCAAAGCACATCCACCAAACCCTCCAAATCCCTCGCTACTTCCTTGAAGCTTTCATAGCCCTGCACCTCTCCTCCTTCTCCTCCATCATTCCCTCCCCTCCGAGCTTCGAACGACTCCGGGGAATAACCCGTCGCATTAGAGTTGAATCCAGCAGCATCATCATCATCGGGCTTATAATAAGCACTACTGAATTTCTTTGCGTGCCGGCGCGAAATCCTCAGTAACGTCGTATCGATGTGATTGATCACTGTTGCTTCTTTGGCGGACCCTGCGCGCAGAGGATGCGTTCGCGGTTTGGGGAGGAGGGAGGGCGTGCTTGGTCGTGGGGTGGAGGGGGCGGGGGATGGGAGGGTCGGTGGGAGGAAGCCTCCTCCTCCTCCTCCTCTTTCTCCTTCGGTGTTGGGTGTTGTGGATGTCATTGTATGGTTGTTGGGTGAGGTTGAGGTTGAGGTTGAGGCTTTTTTGGAGTTGCGATGGTGAAGAATAGTGGGGTGGTGGTGGTGTGGGGTAGGAGATTGCGTGCAGGTACGAGATAGATAGTTATTCTGAGTTCAGGATGCTGCTGCCTCTGCTAGAGGTTATGGGTATGCATGTTGTTGTTTATTTCGGTGGGCTGATCTGATCTTGATGCTCTTTGGTTGCTTCTGGATTGTTCGTCCGATGCGATGCGATGCGATGCGCCGACGATGTCATCGCCAAGCCGGGTTGGTCTGTGCGTTACTATATTGAATGTCGTCGACGACTGATACAGTAGAGAATCTACAGATTACAAATATATGTGTAGAATAGGGTTAGGGACATCAAATAATCATGTTATATATTTAGTCTACAAGAAGCGAACATATGCCTAAACCAGCAGCAAGTCAGCAATGCATCCAGAACTCATCTAGATAAGCAAAATGACGAAAGAGGAATTGCTTCAGTAGGTGAGAAGATTGGATTACGCTGGTTTTTGTAGACATGGCATGACATCAAGCAACAGCTGAGTCTTGCTACTATGGCCCCAGCGGATTCATCATATGCAGTGTATACCATATGGAATGGGAAAGTGTCAAAACTCACATCATCCGGCATCCCTCCAAGCCAATTCTCTATCGAATAAAGCACTTTTGGACGAACCCCCCAAACGCCATGCTAAACCGACCCAACAATGCCAAACAGGACGAAAGAACAAGATCACTCAGGCTGAGACACCGTTAGCATATATTACACATACCATATCCAAGGAGGGAGTAAACTTACTGCAATCTTCCCCTTCCGCTTCTTCATATCCGCCAACTTCCTCCTATCGTCATCAAACTTCTTAAGCAGCTGGTTCTGCTTCTCCTTTCTCTTCTCACGAGACTGGAACCGATAGAAGTCCTCCAGTCCCTTAGACTTCTCCTTCTGCTTCTCAACCAACTGCCTAGCCTCATCCTCATGAGCCGCCTCCGCCAACTTCGGTCCAGACGTAACAGTAATGAATCCATCCTCGTCGGGTTCCTGCGCCCTGCGCGCCTCCTCCCTCTTCCTGGCCTCGGCGACCTGCGTAAACACCGTCATATAATCATTGACGGTGCGCAACAACTCCGCCCGATCCGGATACCTCAACTGTTCATGGGTGATGTACCTCTGCAGTCCCAGAGAAGGTACCCGATCGCCCTCAACACGCTCACCCCAGACAATCTCCGTGCCCTTCTTCGCGGCCTTGCGCGCCGCTTTCAAACTCGCCTCCATGCTGGGCTTGTCGGCGAAGACGACGATCGCATGCGACCCGCTCTTCTGGAGCTGGCGGTCCCAGGTAGCGGGGAGGTCGACATCGTCTAGCTGTGCTTGGAGTTCGTCGGCGGTGACACGCTTGCGTTTCTTGCTGCTGGCGATGTTGCCTTGCGGGGTGGCTTGCATGCCCTTCTTTTTGGTCGGGACGGCTTCGAATTCCACGCGCTCTATGCGGCCTGCGGAGAGCTGGGTGCCGAAGAGGTGGCGCAGGTGGGTTTCGGTCGTGTCGACGGGAATGTTCACGATGAACATCGAGCGGGGAGTGTCGGCGTCTGGGATGCGAGGCTCATGGGCGCGGAGGTAGAGGTAGTGTGTTGCTGGTTTGGGATATGCTGGGGTTGCGGGGAAGTGGAGGGGCAGGATTGAAAATCCTGCGATCTCGAGATCTGCCTTCATGTTGCCTGGTACTCTCGGAGGTATTTGGTTTTAGGGTGAGGAGAGAAGGTAAAAAGAAGTGATTGGACTGGCAGGGGTTGCGGAAATTGTAGCGCCGCAAATTAGTTGGCGGAGAGACTTTTTTTACTTTAGCGGGAAATTTTGCAACGGCAGTTTGGAAGGCGGAGAGAGCTGTTTGCGTTACCCGATAATCAACATCGACAGTACTTGGCCTCAATTCACAATCAAACTGTTGATGACATTGTATTACATTGCTGTTGCAGATAGATCGCTTCAGCAGAAATTAGAAAGAAAAGAAATGTGCACTTTAGCAATGCGCCACATGGCCGTTGCCCAGTTCTTTCCATACTTCGTCTTGAGCCTATCTTTATCGGAACTACACCTTATCAGGATCATTAATCCCACCATTAGTGATGACATACGTCGCCTCTCTTTCAGGGCAGTCTGATGATAGTTAGAGCGTTAACACGAGATGCGTACACTTGGCAAACCTGGCGAGTCCTGGATCTTAGCCACTCGCTCCTCACCACGGCCCTTACGGAGGAGCACTCGAGTCGCCGATGCGTGTGCCAGGACATGACCTCCAACGGGCTTGCGGCCATCGGCTCCAGCGAAGAGTGCACTAGCGCCAGGGTCACTCTGGACCTGGTTGGTCTGTATTGCATTAGACTATATTTCTGTATGTCAATGGGGAGCATACCATCAGAACACAGATATTGAATTCTGCACACGGGAACGTCAGCCCCAGAGTAGTACTATATATATACCAGGAGTCAAAAACATACCTTCAGCCATATGAGCCAGCTTCATCAAAAACTGATTCAACTTCTGCTGACGATCAGCAAGCTCTCCGCGTCCACAATAATCGACCCTGAAGCAATTCATGATGCTATCAATGATCAACAACCTATACTCTCCACCAGCAAACTCTTTACTAAGAGTATTCAACAACTCCAGCTGATGCTCGCTGTTCAGCGCTCGCGCATAAGCAATATTCTCCTGAGCAGCATCAGGATCGACACCGAACCGCTCTGCAATCTGAGCGATGCGCTCAGGCCTGAACGTTCCCTCGGTATCAATATATGCCACTTTGCCGTCTGCACCACCCAGTTCCTTGGGAAGCTGGGCCACGACGGACATGGTGTGCGACAACTGAGTCTTGCCGCATCGAAACTCGCCGAAGACTTCGCTGATACTCATGCTCTGGAAGCCACTAAGAGATATCAACTTAGCCTCCCCCCCGTTACAGTAGTATTTGGGTAAAAAGAGAGAACCTACCCTCCCAAAATAGAATCAAACTGTTTACTCCCGGTAGAAATCCTAACAATCCTCTTCCGTTGATGGCATAATTCCATTGCCGTGATGAACCCCGAAGCCGAGGGCTGTATATTTCGACAATTCGTTAGCACCTCACCCTGGCACGAACAATAACCCCAGACAGGACCATCATCTGCGGTGTGTGTATACATACCAAGGTCTTCTGAATAGCATCCTTAATCTTCTCGACCTTGACCTCACTGAATCCCTTTATCTTCAACAGATTCTTGCGGGTAGCACCGTGAACAGACTGAGCAGGTTAACAGCGAGGCTCTCTTTAAACTTCCAATAATAGACCGGACAATACATACAGCAACAGTATAGTACCCATTCGTCTTTAGCTTCGTGATATCCGCTACTCCGATGCCTTGAACATACTATCAGTATACGGATGTTGAAAGGAAGAGGTAGTGACGAGTATATATAGTACCATGGGCTTGGATGGTATCGATGTCAACGATAAAGACCTGTCATTGAAACAATGTTAATACAATGTTAGGAGATAGTTAGACCATGCAGTCAACGCCATTGCTCATAAGGAATGACGAAGAATGAGGGTAGAGGGATGAATACATCATCATTGAACTCGTCGCTCGTGTCTGAGCCGGGCATGACTGTCGTTTAATTCGATTGATATGGGGAGACCTGGAGGTTGGACAGAGATGACAGATAGATACAGAGATGATTGATTGTCAATTGCAGCTGCGAGCATGCAGATTGAGCACGAAGGCAGCTGGTATGAGGACGAAGTAGACTAGTCCAGCGTCACGGGGTCTGCTCGTGACAGAAGAGCAGTGCTAAGCCCACCATACAATTGAGTGATGGCAATATCTCAATTACCTACGACCAGATGCTGAACAGCATGAGAAGGCGACGATTTCCACACCCAATCATTCTGTTAGCTGTACCCCGTAAGCTATTGATACAACAACATGAAGGCTTTATTCATCCCAGCTCTCAATTAACTGCAATGGACCACTTTTGAATCTGAGATAATGCTTCTTTTTGCTTTTGTCTTTGTTTGTTTTGCTTCCCATTTGACGAATATCTGGAGGATATAGTACGAAAAGATGAGGAGGTAACCACCGCGCCAGGTACCTGTAGACCATTCACTATCTTCATCACACACAATCCCATCCGTATCAACTTGAAGCCTCTTCCCATGCATATCAACGCGCTTGCTTCGGTCCACCAATGTCTCTGCTGCGCTCACTTCACCTTTCACCTCGCCTGGCCTCGTCTCCCTCTTTTCTTTGCCGCACCTAAATTATGGAAATGAGAAAGATACCCGAGGAGATCAATAGACGCCAACCATAAGACCCTGAGCCGTGTATAGGATCCAAGCAATAAAGGAACCTAAGACTTCGTGAAACTTTTGTTCGTCGTATACATAATAGGAATAGAAACCGGTCGGTGCCGAGAAGTGGAACAGGAGGGGCGCAATATATGCAAAGGAAGAAACCATGGGAATAATGAAAAAAAATGAGACCGATATCGGCAAACCCTATTACAAAAAAGAAAGAATGGAAAACAGACTCCCAGAAACTGGGATCAATCAGTCATTAAATTCGTCCTCTATGCGACAGCGGTAGTAGGAGCCGCAGCAGCAACGGGAGCAGCCTCCGCGCTGACCTCGGCAGCGGCGGCGGCAGGGGCAGCAGGAGCAGCAGCGGCGTCAACGGGCTGCTGAGCGACGGCCTCGTTGTTGGGGCAATCGCGGGAGATGTGTCCGGCCTGGGAGCACTTGTAGCAGACCTTGCCGGCGGAGCTCAGGGGACCGCCGTTGGGGGCAGTGCAGTCGCGGGAGATGTGGCCCTATAGGATACCGGTCAGCCTCAATGTCCGTATCGCATCAGGTATAACAGGAACACCTACCAGCTTGCCGCAGGCGTAGCACTTCATAGCCTGAGCCTGGCAATCACGGGCGAAGTGGTTGGGGCCACCGCACTTGTAGCAAGTAGCAGCACGGGGGTATCCGTATCCACCACGGAAACCGCTGTTGAATCCGCCGCGGGGAGCAGGGGCCCGGGAAGCACCGGAAGCAGGAGCGGGGCAGTTGCGCTAGGAGAAGGTCAACGGTTTTGCCCGGCGAACAAGAAGTTAGGAGCGACGAGAAGACGTACGGCAAGGTGGCCGGGCTGGCTGCAGTTGTAGCAGCGGCCGTTGGCACCGTTAAGGCGCAACGTAGGACAATCGGCCTGAACGTGGCCTAGTCCCTGGCAGTTGTAGCATTGCTTGGCTGGATCGGAGATATATCAGCATTCCGGTGCGTTCCAACCACGAGGGCCGAAAACCTTACTCTCAGTCGTACGAGGACGCGGGCAGCTGCTGGACTCATGGCCTGTCGATTGATCGATCAGAGATCTCGTTCGAGCGACGTGACACACAACAGAAAGGACCTACCAGGCTGCTTGCCTGTTGGACAACGTAATTGAATCAGCAAATGATGCACAGTGAATAAGCTGCCAATGAACAAGGTCTACTCACAGTTGTAGCAGAGACGCTCGGAGGAAGAGCAGACCTCTACGTCAGCCCGTTAGCAAAGTCCAGCAGGGGCCAAGGCGTTTCCTTCCCAAAGCAACTACTAACCAGCGTAGTGGCCAATGTTGCCACACTTGTAGCAGGCACGACGAGACAACAACATTTTGTCGGTAATGATTGAGCTATAGAAGAGGAAGTCACTCGGTCAGCGCTTCTGGTCCATGCTTGTTTAAGATCCCGCGGCTGGAAGAGCCATTCGCATCGGCATAGCAAGTGGGCGTCATAGAACACAATTCGTCGGCGGCGCAACTAGACAGAAATCATATATTCCATGCGCTCAGCTGCCGCGGACGAAGTGTAAGCGACTGGTTCCTCCACTGCCGAGTTCATAATGGAGGTTTGTCTTCCATGGAAGTAGGATGCGGACAAAAAATCGGCCGAAGAATGGGTGGAAGGAACTGAAGTCGCGAAACCGCCACGGGAACGTATTGAAGTCACGAGGAACATCTGACAGCACTCACTCTTCCTAAAACCAACAACAGATCTTCTAGTCTCCTTGTCAATAGGACTGTTCGAATTGTCAGCTTGAGAACCTTGGAGGAGGAATAGCAGCACTTCCGACAGCCCACTCTTGAGACTCGAAAAAGTGGGCTGACAAAGCCAAAAGCGACACCGAATGGGGAATAACGATAGGAAAAAAAAAATGACAGGAAAGAGAAAAAAAAAAAAAAAAAAGGCACACAAACCCAGCACTGAACTCACTCCAAACTAGACCTCACAGCAACACCAATCCCTCCGAACCACGAGAGACGAATAAGCAAAAAATAGATAGCTCTTGAACAAGATTTCTCCTGACACACAAAGACGGATGAGTAGAAAAGGATTTCGAATGCAACAACTTAAGCGATGAAGCTAAGCAAGGAAACGGAAAGAAACCAGTGTCGCAGGGTTTCTTTTTCCGTACGGTAACAAGAAAGATACCGGTTCGAATCGAAATTTACCATGGGTCCCGGTTGTCCCGTATCGCGTAAGGTAGTTGATTCGCTATCCTATTGGTCATGAGCTCTCGCGTGCGCACGGCCTGAGGCACACGTTCCGGTTATGACTTGTATTGTCTTGATTACTGGGGATTGACGGTACATGTTCGAAACCGTCCGTCTGGCAGCTGTCATTCTCGATGACATGCAGCTCTGTGGCGTGGTCTCTCGAGTCCGGTGCACTTTTCTTTTTTGCTCCTGGAGCAGACACGTCCGAAGTTGGGGTTGGACTATTGCGAGACGGCCCAGTCTAGACCTGGCTTTGCGAAGACCGAGCTAGAATCCATGTAGATATAGTCAATCTGTTGGAAGTTGGAAGTATACGAGGAAGCCAGATCGGCGAGCTGTATGGCCAGCGTAAATTCCAGCGGTAGTGAAATCTATGACCGCATCTAAGCTGGCTGGTACTAATCAAGGCCCCCGGCGTGCAAATCATGGATGCTCTCTAAGCTTTCCTTGTCCCCCTCCCAAGGTTCGCCCACGGGCTTTCCTACGGTACGCCTCGATCGCGTCGTACAGAAAGAGTTATTTGGGACGTGAGCTATCAACATATTTGGCTTCAAAAAATGTAACCCTGCCTATACACAGCGGGCGGTTGATTTATTCATTATTAGTAGTTCCATACAAGCTGTCCTAACTCCCGCAATGTGATGATTCCATTTACTCTTCCTTCTCAACCACAGCCGGAGCCTTGAGCTCACGGTCCTTGAGGAACTCCAGCCCTTCTCCACCCTGTAACTCAAAGTCAGTCTAGTTTCAAGCACGCATGTGATAAAGCAATCGATTTCACCAATGCAAATACGGAAATACTTACGTAGCTGATCAGAGGCGAGACTTCCACGCCAACAGCTTCGCCTTCAGTGACAACGACACCGCCAGCCTTCTCGATCCACCGCTGGCCCTGCTTCATGATGTCGGCCTTGCTGGTGTCGGGGTCGTCCTCACCAGTGCCGCGGGCGTTCTTGAGGGGCGAGAACTCGTCCTCACGACGCACCTCAATGCTAGCGAACTTCTCCAGAGGGGTCATCGGGAAAACGTCAAACACGAACTGCTCGAGCTTGATGCCGTTGGGCTTCTCGGGCTTGAAGGCCTCGCCGGTCTCGGGCTTGATGCAAGGGATCTTCTTGCGGGCAACGTGGTGGGGCAGCTTGTGAGACCAGCTCTCAATGGATTCGAAGAAACGGAAGGAGTAGTAGTGGTTCACAATGTTGGCGGCACGGAACTTCAGGACATCGGGCTGCTTGGGGTCCTTGGCCTCGGCCGTTTCCTGGTCAATCTCAGAGTATTCGACGACGTCGGGCTTGCCGTTTCTCTGGAGAATCAGACCGACCGACTCGGTAGCGTTGCGCTTGCGGACAACCTTCGTAGCGATGTCGACGTCCTTGGAGGCAGCAAAGCCGATGAAGACAGGGTCGGCAACCTTGACCAGGCAGTTGTCGACGCAGTAGGTGTGAATGTGCTGGATTCCACGCTTGCGCATGTCCTCCCTGACTCCGGAAGTCAAGAGGGCAAGGTAGATACCACCGTTGCCATCAGGAGCGACAGCCGCCTAAAACACAGGGTCAGAGTGGGGTTGGGGTAGGAATGTGAATGCTTGAAACGCACCTTAGACTTGCTCTCCATCAAAATCTTGCCCTCGTTAGAGATGCAAGGCAAGACGCCCTGCTCGAAGATAACCACATTGCTCTTGTCGAGGCCGAAGTAGTTGTGCTGCTGGAAAAACTCCTCTGTGGGTTTACGGGTAGGTCCGCTGGTCATGACATACCAAGGGATGACGGCATCCTTGCCGGAAGACTTCTTCGCCAGGAGCTGGAGCTTAGCAATACGCTCGGCCTGGATCTGGAAGAGAGACTTGTGGCTGGGGAGACCGATGTCAAAGCAACCCTTGGGGGCGGAGCTACCCAGACGGGTGCCCTGTCCACCAGCCATCAACACCACAGCGACCTTGTTGCCAGCAACCAAATGCAGACCCTCATCGTACCACTTCTGGATATCCTTGGGGTCCGAATCCAGGATCGATGCGGTAGCCACTTCGGGGAGGGGTTCGAGGGAGACAGGGCCTTGCTCGGCCTTGGGAGGGTTCAGAGCCTTCTCGGCCAACTCGTTGATGCGGACGGGGTCGAAGTCGTTCAACTGGTGGAAAAGCTGGGTCTTCTCGGCGGGCTTCAGCTCGTCAACAAAGGCAAAGACCTGTCCTTGCCCGGCATCGGTGTACTTCTTCTTCAGCTGCTCGAATTCCTCAGGGGAGGGCTCACGGAGAGCGGGCTC